TAGCATAATCTTTACCAGACAAAGGCAGTACTTAATAAAGGAAAATGTATTATAAAGATAAATAGTCACAAATTCAGATTGTTTATAAAAAAAACAAACATAAACAAATTATAATATTTACACCAACAGACAACTTAACATAAAAATTATAAAATGAACAGTAAATCCTAGTTACTTGCATTACTAGTACAGCAAGTTATATATATATATATATATATCCTATTGTTAATATGCTATTTCTTTTATGCAGCTTACCTCCAATCCTCTTAAAGATTCCGACACATCAAATATTCTAAATTATGAGTTAGCGCAAAATGTAAACACAATAATAATTAACTTACTTAATGTCTATTAGGAGGTAATGACACTCAATTACACACAATAATCACCAGTTCTTAGTTATGATCAGATCCTAATCTGTATGCTATTAATCCTTCCTCGAGGAAAAAAAAAATCCCAGCACTGCAGGGATTAAACAGCTAGTATTCCTTACAGACACACCAGCACTGAAGGGGTTAAACGCCCAAAGGCCAATGTCTGTGAACATAAAAAGCTCCCAATTTGAAGTAAAACTTAATATGGAGCCTCCACCAAATACCACTATAGGAAGTGCTCTCACTTTGTTTGGGGGCAAACAATACTACCCCTTATGTAGATAGCATCATTTGTGCTCCTCAGCTCTATACAGGATCTGATGGGGGACTTAAGTAAAAAAGAAACTCCAGGGGCAGAGCCTGGCAACAGAACTAGACGGACGCATACTAGATGAGCTCTGCTTTCTTACCGACAATACTACTGATTCCTATCGAGCCAGAGAGCCGCAATCACACACACTGATTTACAGGGGAGATGGGACGGAAAACGAAAAAACAAAAGCCGATCAAACACAAACTGGGGGTAAATATTGTCGATTTGTTCCGCCTAGCGCAAGGCGCACATGGGCCCAAAATGGCCGCCGGACTCCTCGGACGACTTGAGCCTGGAAGGCTGACACAACAAGCCCCAAAAACTGGAAAATCTGACCCAGTTACCACAGAGACACTAAAAACTATGTTGGGGGACCTGCAAAGGGTAATCCAGTCAGATCTGGCCCAGCTTCTAGAGGACCTGACGGGCCTGGCTGGTAGGCAGCATCGGAAGTGGTGGAGACCACCTCAAACAAACAGGCTCAAGTAATAATGGAACTCCAAACGGAGCTGCAGGAACTCAAAAAGCACCAAGAGATAACTGACCAGTGCTTCGTGGCCCTTTAGGATCTCAGATGCTGCAATAACATAAAAGTGTGAGGTGTCCTCGAAGACATACCAGCGGAGGAACTCCCACACCTAATGCAGAGGCTCATAGGATCCCTATTGGCACAAAAACAAGCCAGGAGTAGAATACTGAACTAGTCTTCAGGGTCCCTAAACCCCGGAGAGCCCCAACATTGGCTTCCAGGAACCTAGTGGTGAGATTTCGCACCTGCGCGGATAAAGTAGCGGTCCTGATTGCCTTCAACGGGAAAACACCCTACAAGTTTGAAAATATAACCCTATCCTTTTATGATGACCTGGAGAAGGTCACTACAACCCTTCACAGCGCTTCTCAGGAAGAACAACATAGGATACAGATGGCGCTCGCCAAGGACTCTGTAAATCCTGCATAACAACAGGGTCCACTCACTTACAGATCTTTGTGGGGCTGTGGTGCTGTTGTCACTACTTGGCCTACCAGAGAACAAGAATATACCAGGCTACCTATGCAGCCTCAAACCCGGCATAGGGCTACTGTCTTATGTAAGATGCATGCACGACCTCAACATGAGGGACCCAAGCTATTCCCAATCTAATTCAGATTACCTCTACTACCGCCTGTGGGCTTACTATACCTCAAAGGTTAAGCACCAGTGTATAACCAACCTCTCTTGACCAGATACCAACTAAGACCACTCAACATAGAACACGATAATTTAAAGGACCACTATAGGCACCCAGACCACTTCAGCTCAATGAAGTGGTCTGGGTGCCAGGTCCCCATAGTTTTAACCCTGCAGCTGAAAACATAGCAGTTTTAGAGGAACTGCTATGTTTACACTGCAGGGTTATTACAGCCTCTAGTGGCTGTCTTCCTGACATCCACTAGAGGCACTTCCGCGATTTACACTGAGTAAATCGCACTTATTTGATGCTGGATGTCCTCACGGACCTAGTTGCTTGGCTGTAGATGATGACCTGTTTAGTATGGGAGGGGTGGAAGCTGGAGCTGTGAAGGTAACTTCATCTGTCTGTGGGTTTTCTGTAAACAGAGGTGTGGATTGTGCCATTGTTACATGTTTCAGTGGTGTCCAGAAAATTCATAAATCTAGTAGAATATTCCCTTTTTAGTTTGATTGATGGATGGAATGTGTTAAAAGACTCATGGAACTGTATCAGTTTTTCTTTGCTTTCAGTCCAAATTATGAAGATATCATCGATATAACGATAATATTTGTATAGTTTGGTGTGCTGTATTTCTAGAAATCTCTGTTCATATTTGGTTGCCATCTTAGTACCCATATCTGTGTCCATGGTTTGTAGGTAAACCTTGTTGTTAAAACTTAAATAATTTTGTGTGAGGATGAATAGTGCCAGTTCTGTGATAATTCGGGGGCTGTATTTTTGGTTATCAGCATAAGAGAGGAAATGGAAACAAGCATTGATGCCATCTGTATGTGGAATGTTGGTGTATAATGTCATATTAAGTGTTTTTTCTTTATTAATATATACATATATTAATATAAAAATACACTTAGAGTAAAATTACACACATGTATATATATAATATATATAATATATATAATAACTATATATATTGTGTATATATATATATATACATATTATTATAAATAATAAATAATAATTAATTATAAAAATAAATGTAAAAATAATAAAAAATAATTTTATTCTAACTGTAGTTTGATTTTAATACATAATATATATATATATATATATATATATATATATATATAAATACACTTAGAATGAAATAATATATATATAAATAAAAAATAATATGAAATATACATTTGTCCATGTACATAATTACATAAATAATTTCATAAATATACACGTAGACTTCAAATCTATAAATATTTATATATATTTGAATTCTATGTGCATATTTATGTAATATTTTTACATAATTAACTAATTTTACTGATTGCAATTTGGGGGACCTGCCTGACAAACCAGGCCAAAAGTACAAAGAATTATTTTTGCTAGCACTGTATTTAACCCTGTAACTTTCTATGACACCCTAAAACCTGTACATGAGGGGTACTGTTTTACTCGGGAACCTTCGCTGAACACAAATATTAGTGTTTCAAAACAGTAAAACATTTCACAGCAATGATATTGTCAGTGAAAGTGATGTTGTTTTTTGCATTTTTCACACACAAAGTGCACTTTCACTGATGATATCATTGTTGTGATACATTTTACTGTTTTGGCATAAAGTGTTTTTGAAACTTACAGGGTCAAATATAAGGCTTGATTTTTCGTTTTTTTCACATTGAGATTTGCCAGATTGATTACGTTGTGTTTGAGAGCGTAAAGTAGCCCAGGAATGAGAATTACCTCAATGATGGCATACCATTTGCAAAAGAAAACCACCCAAGGTATTGCAAATGATGTATGTTCAGTCGTTTTAAGTAGCTACTTAGTCACAAACACTGGCTTTAGAGTTTTTCACACACAAACAAATATAAATGCTAACTTTGGCCAGTGTTTGTGATTAAGTGGCTACTAAAAAGACTGGACATACCCCATATTGAATACCCTGGGTTGTCTACTTTAAAAAAATATGTAGATGTGAATTGTGATTCACAAATTTATGACAGATAACAGTGTTACAGTGTCACTATTGATACATTTAAAAAAAGTATATTTTGAAACAGCAATGTCCTACTTGTACTTATAGCCCTATAACTTAAAAAAAAAAAAAAGCTACGATCATGTTATCATTGGGTATTTTTAAACTCAGGACAAAATTTTGAAACTATTTAGCTTGGGTGTTTTGGGGCAGTTGTAGATGCGTAACAGATTTGGGGGTCAAAGTTAGAAAAAGTGTGTTTTTTTAAATTTTTTAGCATATTTTATAATTTTTTTTTTACAGTATATAAAATGTCTAATAGTCTGCTTTATTAACTGAGCCTGATTGCTATAGTTGAGAATGATAGGTACTCCCTTTTCATCTTCTATTTTCTTCCTGTTTCCCGTAATCAATTACCAGAGATCCAGAAAAATATTAATAATTATTTAAACTTAGAAAATTGATTTTGTAGATGTGGAGTGCATGTCAAACATGCTCTGTCATGGAGAGCAGCTCTCTCCAAAACCTCATGTTTCATCACTTCTAGCTAGCGACGACTGTGGGAATTAGACATTATTTTGCTTATCATGAGATTTTATCTATGGTGGCTCCCATGGTCTCACGTGATCTACCATAGACATTAATGTTGTACACTCGTGTATGTGCAAGTACAGCACTGATGTGGGCTCCTGGTGGATGAATTACTGTGTGACAACATCATTTAAGTGTAACTCACCATAACTGTACCCTCCGGCCACTGCATTGCTGCAATGTCACTAATGGGGTTCTTTGGAATATATGCAAAGAACCCAAAAGGTGACAGAACTGCTTTAAAGGGACCCTATTGTCAGGGCCGGCGCGTCCATAAGGCGGCACAGGCGGCCGCCTTAGGGCGCACGGGCTCTGGGGGCGCAATATTTCAGTGACCGGCAGGAGGGAAGCTCTCCCTCCTGCCCGGCCACCATCTCGACTCCCGGCGCAGCAGTGCTGTGATCAGGCGCGCGAGGGAGCTCTAATCTCCACCCTCTGCTCCCTCGCGCGCTGTCTGTCACAGCACTGCCGCACGCCGCCCAGCAACCCCAGGGACCGATCCATCATCCACACCAGCTCTCCAGGTAGGGAGGCTGGGTGGAAAATATGTAGTTATAAAAATAATTAGTGAATGTATGTGATGTGTGTCTGTGAGTGACTGTGTGTGTGTGTCTGTGAGTGACAGTGTGTGTGTCTGTGAGTGACTGTGTGTGTGTGTCTGTGAGTGACAGTGTGTGTGTCTGTGAGTGACTGTGTGTGTGTGTCTGTGAGTGACAGTGTGTGTGTCTGTGAGTGACAGTGTGTGTGTGTCTGTGAGTGAAAGTGTGTGTCTGTGAGTGACAGTGTGTGTCTGTGAGTGACAGAGTGTGTGTGTCTGTGAGTGACTGTGTGTGTGTGTCTGTGAGTGACAGTGTGTGTGTGTCTGTGAGTGACAGTGTGTGTGTCTGTGAGTGACAGTGTGTGTGAGTGACAGTGTGTGTGTGTGTGAGTGACAGTGTGTGTGTCTGTGAGTGATTGTATGAGTGTGTGTGCATGTGAGTGTATGAGTGTGTCTGTCAGTGTATGATGAGTGTGTTTGTCAGTGTATGAGTGTGTGTCTGTCAAATCAGTGAGAGTATGTTTGTCATTGAGTCTGTGTGTGACTATCAGTGTGTCTGTCAATGAGTGTCAATCAGTGTGGGTCTGTCAGTGTCAATGAATGAGTGTGTGTCAGATCAATGAGTCTGTGTCTGTAAGTGACGTCTGTGTGTTTGTCATTGAGTGTGTGACTGTCAGTGTGTACAGAGTGTAGCGGAGCAGAGCGCGGTACAGGAACTTCTGTTTCCTGTACCTGGCCAGACTGACAGGAGGTGCTCACAGAGAGAGCACTCCCTGTCAGTCCGGCCGGGTACAGAAAACTGAAGCTCCTTTAGGGAATCTGCTCCACTCGGCAATGCAACAATAGAGGTAGGAGGCACACCAGGAAGGGGAGTGTGACCACTAAAGGGGTGTTGGGTGCACCAAGGGACAGGGAGGGAATGGGAGAGAAACACCAAGAGACAGGGAAAAGGGGGGAGGGGAGAAGAACACTAAGGGACAGGGAAGGGAAGGGACTACTAATGGTCAGGGAGGGGAGAGGGGCTGGTTAAGAGGCACATAGGTGAAGATGTTTTTTTTTGAGGGGGGGGGCGGAAAAATGCATCTTCGCCTATATACCTAAAAATCCAAGCACCGGCCCTGCCTATTGTCCCAAAACAACTTTAGCTTAATGAAGCAGATTTGCTGTATAGATCATGCCTCTTAAGTCTCACCACTCCATTCACTACCGTTTAGGAGTTAAATCACTTTTGTTTCTGATAATGCAGACCCTAACCACACCTCCCCTGGCTGTGACTGACACAGCCTGCAAGAAAAAAATGGTTTAATTTTCCCTCAGATGTGACTTACTTTAAAGGACCACTATAGTGCCAGGAAAACATACTTGTTTTCCTGGCACTATAGTGCCCTGAGGGTGCCCCCACCCTCAGGGTCCCCCTCCCGCTGGGCTCTAGGGTGAGGAAGGGGTTAAACTTACCTCTTTCTCCAGCGCCGGGCGGGGAGCTCTCCTCCTCCTGTCCGCCTCCTCTCCTCAGCTGAATGCGCATGCGTGTTGCAAGAGTCCCATAGGAAAGCATTCACAATCTTAATCAAAATTACAGTGAGAAGCACGCAAGCGCCTCTAGCAGCTGTCAATGAGACAGCCACTAGAGGCTGGATTAACCCTAATATAAACATAGCCGTTTCTCTGAAACGGCTATGTTTATAGAAAAAAGGGTTAACCCTAGCTGGACCTGGCACCCAGACCACGTTATTAAGCTGAAGTGGTCTGGGTGCCTATAGTGGTCCTTTAAAAGGTTTTTTTAATCTCCTCCTCTGTCAGTTGATCTTTAATTACATACAGGAGGCTCTTGCAGGGTCCAGCAAGCTATTAACAGAGCAGGAGATAAGAAATTCTAAACTACACAGAATTTGCAATAAAGGACGTGTAAACATTAGATGACTCTTTACATGAAGTGTTTAGGAAGGCTGTGTAAGTCACATGCAGGGAGATGTGGCTAGGGTTGCATAAACAAAGTATTTTAACTCCTAAATGGCAGATAATTGAGCAATGATAATGCAGGGGCATGATCTACACACCAAAACTGCTTCATTAAGCTAGAATTGTTTTTGTGTGACATTAGTCTCAGTGTTCATGGCAGTTCACTTCCAAACTTTATACTTCAAAAGCTGATCCTGCTATTTTCCTCTTGCTTTATGAATTCATCGCTCAGTTAAAGCCATCTAGTTTGCTTACATTAAAACATGAATTTATATCAATAGGCCTTCTGACTTTAGGGATACATCAGCATTTTCGTATCCTGCATAATGAAAATTAAGCAATTTACATTAATAGCCCCACACAGTTTTGACACCCAGACACTCAGATTGTCGTGGAGATCTAGACCCGTTATACAGGAGAACATTTACACCCATACATTTCTGGGAAGGCCCTATTTTCCCTCCACGCACTGGCTGGAAAATATCCCTTTTAAATTCAACTTCCATGCTACTCTATGCACACGTTTCAAAGACCAGTTATTGTAGAGTGACTTAATGAGAGTTAAATTGTAGTGGGCTTAGAATAACTGGGCAGTTACATGAACACACCATGGGGGACTTATCAAAGTTTTCTGTAAAGTTTGTTGCAGTTTCACATGCCTCTAGAATTATATCTAAGTAACTAAGAATACCGTGCAAATATTTTCCGATTAGTTGTATGCCAAAATAAAGGTGGCGTAAGAGAACACCAGTATATTAAATTATGGTTTTGGTGCAAATATACTAATGTACTATACACAAAGTAAAATAAAAGCAAAAACAAACAATAGAAAAGGTGCAAAAGTAATAAATGACAAAAAAGACCATCAGAATTAATATCTAGAACCTGACTTGCAGATTATTCTGTGACACTTTAATTTTATAACCTCCCTTTTGATAGTATAGAGACTTAGAACGGGCACTGTCATGGTCGAATCCAGTTTTTTTTTAACCCCCCCCTTCCGACTCCACTACATCTAATTGACCCCCTAGTCACCTCCAAATGTCCCTAAGCCCCTCATATGATCTAGTTTTTAAACTTTATTTTCTGCCCCGACCTAGGTCCTGGGCGCCGCCATCTTTGTGTGGGTAGACGAAGGCCCTGTGGCAAACGTCATCTGCCCACACTAGATAGCACTGTGAAATTCCCGCACATGCCCAGTTAAACACTTGGGCATTCGAATGGGAATTTCATCCATTAATTCGTCAGAAAGACAAATGAATGATTAGAAATGTCAGACGAACAAATAAACACCAAATATCGTTCGTTCAGTTTATTACAAGGAGGGAGCTACCGGTGCGCAGCTCCCTACCTTGTAATATCTAAAAATAGACGTGGCAGGGAGCAGTGCTCCCCGCCACTTCCTAAGACCTCATGTCCTCCCTCACTATATGGGGGTCAATATGACCCACATAATAGCATAAGGGAGAATGAAATCTCCAGAATGCCCCTACTTGCTGTGCCGCGAGTAGGGGCATGTCTACTAAACAGTGAGTGGATGCTCACTGTTGTTAAAAAATTGGGGGGCCCACCCCTGAGTGCCTGGTGGAGGCCCTAAATGGGTGTGAGGGGGGGACCTATTGTCCTCACCCCCGGCCCCCACCCCTGAGCGGCATGTGGGGGCCATAAAAACAATGAGGGAGGGACCTATTGGATTAGAATTCAACCAATAAGAGTGCTAGTCATTTTACACAGCGTGGGAAAGTTCTTTGGAATTTTCCCACGCTGTGTAAAATGACACAGAGCACTCTGATTGGTTGGATTTTAAGCCAACCAATCAGAGTGATATGAGTCATTTTACACAGCGTGGGAAAGTTCTTTGGAATTTTCCCATGCTGTGTAAAATGACACAGAGAATTCTGATTCAGTTTTTTTCTTTTTCGGCTGATTTTTTTTGCGCTCAAGTTTTTTATTTGATTTTTTACAAGTTCGACGGGTATTATGGTTTTTATTTGGCTTTTTGGGGGGCTGAAAAATTAAGATTTTAGAAAAAAGAAGATCAAATGGTAAGTTTTTTTTTTTTTTACAGGTACTTAGTTCTTTTATTCCCCCCTCACTATTTTTAGGGTGCGGGGGCTAGGTAGGGGTTTGTTATTTGGGGCCCCCACCCGAGTGGTTGGTGGGGGCCGGGGGAGAGGACAATAGGTCCCCCCATCATTGCTATTTAGCTCCCCACCTGACGCTCAGGGGTGGGGCCGGAGGGGAGGACAATAGGTCCCCTCCCCATTGCTATTTAGGGCCCCCACCCGACGCTCAGGGGTGAGGGCCGGGGGGGAGGACAATGGGTCCCCTCATTGTTATTTAGGGCCCCCACCTGCAGCACAGGGGTCGGGGTCGGGGCGGAGGACAATATTTCCCCCCCTCGTTGTTATTTAGGGCCCCCACCCGCCGCTCATTTAGGGCCCCAACCCGCCGCGGCACGGGTAGGTGCTCGGGAGCGGGGTACTAGGGGTTTCTTTTTTTTTTTTAACAGTGAACAGCCACAGGCTGCTCACTGTTTACTAGACATGCCCCTACTCGCGGTATAGCGAGCAGGGGCAGAATTTACTAATACTAAGTAATCTTTGCTTAGTATTAGTAAATTTGGTTGTAAGACCAATTTAGGTCTTTCAGCCTTTTGGTAGATAGCTCCCTAATACTGTGGGAATTAGGGAGTTATCTACTAAGAGGCTGCAAGATGTAGCCGCAGCACGAATAAGATCAGAGTTTCATTCATTCGAATGAAATTCCAATCAGAAAAAAGTCCCGAATTGCGTCCTAACATGAATTGAGAAACTGTTCTCATTCTGTTAGGATGCAATTCGATAGTTTTGCCGGCGTTCTGTTTAAGTGACAGGACGTTTGGGAAAAGTGAAAGGAAGCATCGCGGGAACACGGAGGAAAACTAAGAAGTGTGAGAAAAGTTCTCTGACCACCGGAAATGAAGCACACTTTGCTCCTCCGCTGGTCAGAGATGGTCAGGCATAGGAAACCTCCATAAGACAAATAGTCCCTACTTTATCTTATGTTTAGCCCCTTAAGGACCAAACTTCTGGAATAAAAGGAAATCATGACATGTCTCACATGTCATGTGTCCCTAAGGGGTTAAAGTAAACTAGATTAGACAGGAAGAAATAAAGAACAGATCCTACCAGAGGGAGAGAAGAGGAATCGATTAAAGAAAGGTAAGTGCCGCTTTAAGAGTTTAGCTAGTGCCGGGCGTAAGGTCTGTGATTTGATTTCATTTGATGTGGATTCTTTTCCCACTTTTATTGATCAGTACT